TACATTTGTTCCCACCGCATCACAGTTGTTGTGATTGCACTAATTGGATAATTATTATTTAATGATATACGTTGCCTGGCTTCGTCTTTTTTTTGTGTGTATGTGTTTTGTTTGTTTGTTTTTTACTCGTGCTTAATATATAATTTGCTTTTAAACTGACGAATAAGTACGTAAATAAATAGAAAACTGAATTAAATTATTTCATACTTATTGAAATATTAACTATTCTTGATATCAATGTAGGTATACATATTTTTCTCAACACGTAATGGTTGCCGCGGTGGTATTTATTAAATGTTTATTGTCGTCTAAAGGACGTGTTCCTTGTTTTTACTTTTGTCTTTGTTTGCGTCTGTTTCCTTCTTTGCCTGTGCTTATTTCAAAATTTTTCTTTGTGCTATTAAATAAACACGTAAGCAGACAAAGAATTGGATTGAATTATTATTTTTGTATCATTTCCTCTTAAATCGAAGAGGACTTAATCTTGTGACACATTACTAAATCTCAGGTTGCCTTTAACCACAACACTGACTATATACTGTACCTCGGAACGTTTAGAAATATTGGGTTTTGCTGGACATATTATGTCTAGTCTTCTAAGGTCGCTGGTTCAAGTCCCGATGAGGTCATTGGATTTTTTCATTTGACCTAATCCTTCCGGCCTCAGTATGGCCCTGGGGTCAACTCAGTCTCTAACAGAAATGAGTACCAGGAACTAATTAATTAATTTTCCCGGTAAGTAAAGCGCGTAAGGCTGACAACCTTACCTCCATCTTTGAGCGACTGTCTAGATAGTGTGGGACCCTCAACGTCTCACAACCCTATGGGCCTTCACGGGCTGTTACAGGGATAGCTTTACTTTACTTTTACTTCCTACTTCTACATTCTTGATAGCTTTCGGTTATGCGGGCTACAGAGCCGAGTTGGTGTCCAGACCAGAGTACGTGGGTCGTCTGGAATACATGAAATTGAGGAAATAGCCTGTAAAGAATTCAAGGAGACGTTGCGGCTTTGCGCTGTAGCAGATTATCACTTACATAACTAAAAATACAAAGCCATCTTGCTAGACCGAATTTTTCATTACTCCATTCCAGGCGACGGAATTTTCACATAGAAGTTTTTAAAAGCAAAATCTGTTGCTTGTTCATCTTGAGTACTGTTATTCCACGGAAATTTAGGAAGTTAATCAAAGACCAATACTTAATATACTATATATATATATATATATATAACACTACTCAGCTAGATTTGTTTCTGCTGCCAATGCATTCTGCAAGAACGTTGACATCAAACGATTATATTCCGATCCTTGATATATGAGTATTTACTCATTTAATGACTAATTACTTGTTTCATAATTCTCCGTTTTTTATTGCTAGTGAGGTGGGACTAAGTCCCTTGTACTGCGGCCACTTCTGGCCTATTGTACCAGCCCCAGATGATAGGTGAGGGTGATTGTGGAGCAATTGGAGGAATGAAGATTGGAAGGGGAAACCGAAGTACTCGGAAAAAACCTGCCCCAGCGCCACTTTGTCCACCAAAAATCTCACTTGACCAGACCCGGGATCGAACCCGGGCCGCCGCGGTGAGAAGCCAGCGACTAACCGCTTGAGGTATGGCGCGGCCATTTTTCTCCGTTACTTCAGACTATTGATTTCTACTACGTATATTCTCAGTAGGTCCATTTCTTTTGTATCTCGTCTTCTCTACAGTGTTTTCCTACAGTTGGCCTCGTCCTCTTGTTGAACACTGTAATAATTACGAGTAATTCGAATCGAATCATTTGGGAGAGCAAAACCATTTGTTTGGGTCCAAAAATGCTCCAGCTTTGCTTAAGTCTGACAGAGAGACCATATAGACCGTATATATGTTCCCATATAGAAACATCCTCGTTGCCAGGCAAATGTGCCTAGTTAGTACGCGCACTAAAGAGAGGTTCTGCGAATATGACACTCAAAATCCTACCCTCTCGCCGGTTTTCTTTGTTTCCCTGCCTCTTGTTTAGTTGCTAAGTGACCACACCCGCTTCTTTTAGCGCGAAAAATGTTCTATTCAATATCATTCCGTTGCTTGCAACCGACCAGTGCATAAAACGATCATTAAATATCGTCACAACTGTAAATAATGGAGAATACGCGTGATGTCATATTCAAGTATATTTTCGCCACATTTACTTTTGTGAACAGGAATAACAATAATTTGTATTTTACATAATAGTTCGATTATTATTTTTATTTACGTGCTTACTCAGCAGTCAAAAGGCCAATTATAAAATGATCATAAACAATGAAGGAAACAAAACGAATACAGCCAGACAGAGACAAAAGAATAAAACACTGATTATGATTAAGTATAGTAAAACCTCGGGCGATCAACCATGTCAATATTACATCATAAATAAAAATTTCGAAGATTTCTTCCTTCCCCATCTTCAGGACCTACATGCATTTTAACATCGGTCCTGATGATCAACATGCACATCTCCGAAAAACTTTGGTTTCGGACGGAATATTGACACGTCTGATCGCCCAAGAAGTTTTCAGTACATACATTGGCCGTGAAAGCTTCAAACCTTGGATAATAAGTAAGCAATTTTATTCCCTCAGTACTGTGAAGTTTCGTACCTCCAGGTTCTTCAATGGCAGGAGCTCTGCAGGGGGTGTGCCTCGAGTTCTTAGTTTCATTTCCGGAAACCTGAAGCAGCAGACACATGCAATACTTAATGTATGTTTACTTTTATGCTCTTCATTTGTTAATAATACAGAACATGGCCTGCTGCCGTGCCTCTCCGCAACCTGTGGTTACACAAGTGTAATGGGAGACGAGACACCGAGAACATGGGGCTTGGGTTCCATCTAACCAGCGGATATGGCGTGTAAGTTTAACGGAATCCAAAAGTGACTTCTTCATTCATTCCGACGTCTAGTACGCGCAGAGGAACCGCCATCAGATTTTTCTGACAAGTAGTGAGTCTGGAACGGGGTACACACTCGTGATGATAATTGAGGAGATATTTCAAGGAAATAGCGACTCCGGTCTAGAAAACCGAAATTGACGGCCGTGGGGATTCTTTGCGCTCACGGCGCGACACCCTCTATCCGCAAAAGTTGGCACTAAACTTAACCGACAAGCGGCGGTCGCTCGGTCGGTATAGTTCGTTTGCGGACTAAAATGACTGAGTTCGCGCAGTCTTACCTCCGCGTCTCCCACAGCCAGCACAGGGCCAGATTCACCTTTGTCTTATCATATTTGCTTTCTCCATGATTTTGTTTCAGTATAACATATTACTAATACTTCCACCAAGATGTTATTAGACATGAAAAAAAAATGACAGGAATAAAACCTGCATAATTTATAAAGTTCAGTTATCACATATTATTTAAAAAGTTCGCATTTTTAGTCTTAATTTATTCAACGACGCTTTCATTAGCTCAGATTTTTAAAACATCAACTATAGGATAGTTAGTGAACCATTAATTCTCACGTATTAGTAACTAGACATGGGGTCTGGATTGACAATTTAACATTTTGAAGGCTTACAACTCATGAACAAAAATAATTATAAGACTTTAGCTAACGTATATGCTCTACACGACATCACTGCAAACACCAAGTTTTTATGTCTTCAATAGTCGCTGCCTGGTGGCGGCTTCTGACGATGCTACTCAAGACTCTCGAGTGGTTACCGCCGAATCCGACTTACGACTTCCTACTCATCTTACGACTGAATACTGACTGTCAGCTTGTGGAGTAAATTACTGCAGGTCCTCGTCAGCACACTCAGTCTTATTTCAGAGTCCAGCTGAGAGTCATAGTTACTGTACGACTGGCGGTTTACGGCCAATTAGTTCATCTTGGCGCCAACCCGCTTGAGACCCACGACCAGAGAATTCTTTTGCAATTAGACACTTTTGTCCATAGTCCTTACGTAACATTCTCTCTTCAGAGAGAATGGCCTTGTCTCTTATGAACACGCTTCGCCTTTGTCAAGTGTCCCTATCGCACATATAGCGTAGGTCACATCGTTATGGGGAATCGCTCGTGTCCTTTTTATACGACTTCGGCGGGGACCGCCTGGAAACACCACTTCCAATAAAGTTTATATTGCTGAGTAACGTGTTAAGCGGGCTCTTCCCAAATGATGACCCAGGTATTGTTGACGCAGGAGAGTGTTTTGGTTGCCGTGGATACGTGTTTACCGACCGTTGTCAAGCAGTGGATGTCTTTTCTCGTTCCACTGTTTTGGCCTTTAGCTATCATGTAAGAGAATTAAATATACACGTACAGTGGAATGAAGCCATAGTGACCTAATTTAACTTAATTTCACGAAGTTTTCTTAGGGAGACCGAGATATGAACCCGGAACCTTTCAAATAGGAAACAAAAGACATTGATTGACGGTACTGTGGTTCCAGCCTCACAAACCAGCAGGGCAGCGATATCAATATTATTAAATGCAGAAAATTAGAAAGTGCTGAGTTGGTTACGGTGGTCTTCAGTGGTTTGATGTTCATACCAATTTCCAGAAAAACATTCAGTTCAAAAAGTTTATAAATGAGAGAAACATGGGCACTGTGGTACGATATCGTAAGTTGTTCTTTTGTTTGAGGAGAGGGAAGTAAGCAAAAAGCGTATAGACGTGCCGTATTATTGATGACTTCACCGCGGACCGGACTGAATGTCTGGCTGACACTGTTTTGCCTCCCGATTGACAAGACTGCAGACTAACCAGCTGGAAGCCCATAAATCAACAAAACTGACGGTTAAGAATGTTGACTTCTGAATTGTGACACAGTACAATTTTGTCAGAGAATATCAACGTTTCGGAGGAGCATTTTGTCTCCATCTTCAGGATTGAAGGGTTGGAGAGTTAAAGTGTCGAATCCTGAGAGTACAGGCAACACGATCTTTGAAACGTCAGTATCTGACCACAACATTGCTTGGTGTCACTACCCAGAAAACTAGAGTTAGTCTTCTGAAATCGTTGTGTCTTGTTTGCAGAGATTTCCTCGCGGCACCACCTGACTGACCTCTGTCTCCGGAGCAAGACATGGCGGCTATGGCAGTGTGCGGGCTGTTCGCGTCCATCTTGCTGCTGCTTCTGCGCATGGGCACAGTTCTCAGCGCCTCAAGTACGGTGAGTGTTAACTCGGTCAGAGATACTGCATGAACTAAATTAACCCATTTACTACAGCCGCCATATGTCAGCTTTGGCGTAGATTATATAGCGCAGAATTTCAGCATATGCAGGATGTGACAGCAAAGGCTGTAGACCTGTAAAAAAGCACTATCGGAGAATATCTCTTCAGGAGCTCACTGAAACAAAGAAGACTCCCAGTTATGGTAACAAGTTTTCGGGACAAGATTTCAGCCACTGAACCTTACGAATATTTTCGAACACACTTTGAGGTGACCGTTCTGGCGGTCTTTGGTTCAACTTTCATGGCGATACTAGAATAAGGTACCTATTTTGCATCATTTGTCCTCCTGGGCTTGCTGCGGCGTCCTATGCAGATGATAGACCTTTCACTATCTTTCATGTGACGCATAACGGCCTAAGTGTGAAGCCCACCTCCTTCCGGGACTGAAGTCTGTAGGTCTATGACGTGAACTCATATAGAACTAACCCTTACGTTGGCCGCGCCATAGCTCAAGCCGTTAGTAGCTGGCATCCCATCGCGGCGGCCCGGTTTCGATCCGGGTCTGGTCAAGTGGGATTTATTATGGACAAAGTGGCGCTGGGGCAGGTTTTCTCCGAGTACTTCGGTTTCCCCTGTCAATCTTCATTCCTCCAATTGCTGCACAATCACCCTCACCTATCATCTGGGGCTGGTACAATGGACCAGAAGTGGCCGCAGTACAAGGGACTTAGTCCCACCCCACTAGCAATAAAAAAAACCCGTACGTTGCTTACAGACATTGCCTTTAGTCCTTTAAAGCACAAATATTACAGTTTAACATACTAAACCTCTGCATTCTACCTGCAGAATATACTCCTGTGTTCTCGCAACAAACAACGTGTGTTTCTCTACACAGCATTAATCGGTAGATCTTCGTAAAGAAGACGTAATGTGTTTACCGTGAGATACGAATTGTATTGTTAAATAATATTTAGAAGAAATTCTGTCTTTATGATCTCACCCCTAGTAGAAGGGGAGTCACCAGTAGTAGTCAGGCCCCATCCTCTTGTCGAAGACGAGGCCCCATTTCAAAACACGTAGAAGTCTTGGAAACAAAAATGTGGCCACGTTTCCCGACGGGACCCGTAACCAAGATCAAATGTAACGGCAAGCGCCAGCAGTAATTTACCTGATCAGGCTCTACAGGGTTAAAGCAGAGATTTGCAATGGCGATATTACCTACAGGACGTTTACAGTTTGGTCATTATTGACCTTAAGAACGGGTTAACAGAATAGAATAAGGAGTCTGTCGGCGGACTACTTCCGCGTAGGAACTAATCCTGGCCAGAGTATGCGGGCTGTCGTTTTAGCAACGTCACTTATATATTTTTTTAGTTTCTTGACTTGGAGTGAGACTGAGTCCACTTGGTATTTCGGCCACAATTGACCTATTATACCAGCCCCGGATAATATATGATGACGAATGATGAGCAGTAGGTGGAATGAGAATTTGCAGAGGAAATCAAAGTACTGGGAGAAAGCCTGTCCAAGTGTCACTTTGTCTACCACAAATCCCACGTGACCTGACCTGGGTTCCAACCCTGGCCGCCGCGGTGGGAAGCCAGCGAGTAACCGCCTGAGCTATGGCACGGTCCTTGATTGGACTTAAGTAAAATTTGACAGGCGAGCAGAACATCCAGAGTGGAGGGGCTGGCTTATTCAAAATGTCTATGGCAATGAAGCATTTTTAGTTATTCATGTGTGATATCTGACAAATTATATAATGGAACCGATTCTGTAAAACACAAACGCCAGCATTCTGACTTTACACAAATATTCGGACGTATCCACCGTGCCTGGAAACAATGGAGCAAGTAACTTTCCGAATGTCTGATACTCCTCTCGTCACATTGCTCTAATGCATTTGGGTGCTTCAAGGTTATCTTCAGTTTCGGGGACACCGCGCTTAATATTTGAGAACTGGCGTTTGTATCGTTAGAAAACTAGTTTCACCTGACTAGAAAAAGCAACCTCGTAATATACTGTACACGTATAAACATAGTTTCCACGTAAATATTTCTGTTTTCTACTTATCAGAGAAACTGGACTTCTTATTGAAGATGTTGGCGTTTTATTTCTGGAAGCCTCAACACCAGATACGTGTTTATCGGGCTTTCCATTCTTTCCGGAAGATAAAAACAGATTTCTTTCCTTCTAGTTATTTTTTAAGCAAACAATACACCGTGTCAATAAGAGCGCTTGAGGCAATCAAAAAACAGTCTTGAAGCATGTTTAATGAGAAATTGCTAAATCACGTAGCCACTTCATCTAACACACGTCATATCGCCTATTGTTGCCAAATACTGAACAAAAACTTAGCTCGGCTGCTTAAATGTCACTTCTTTGATATGCGAGTAAAACAACGTCCTTACTCCGTAATAGGCTAAGTGCTGGGTCACAGATGAAGCCTCAAACTTAAAAACGAAGGATGTGGTGGTGTGCTGCCTGCTCCAGGATGTCGCACACCTCGGGACGTTGTGACAGTATACCCTACTATACAGTGGCACATCCGAAAAAAAAATATCGCTCTTATTAGTTACCGTTATGAGAACATCATATTCTGCACATATTTTTGTTTCCTTGAAACGTTGAGTGAAACTATTTTTCTGGAGGCAAGTCACCTGCTGCACATTGGACCTGAAAGAATACTCATGTGGCCTTTTTTAAGTGTTACGCTTTTTAATTTCGAATTTGTTGCTCTGCAGTATTCTTCTCGCGATCCTTCGAATTATATATTACGGTGACGTTCATACTGTGAGGCATGCCCGTATTTGGTGTTTCACGTAAACACTAGAGATAGTTTAACACACGAAAGCAAGTGAACAAGAGAACAAAAAGCCCACACGAAATCTGAATTCTGAGTACACTTTCAACATCTCTTTAAGCAACGGTCAGATGTATTGGATTTGAGCTTTTTACTGATGCGACTATGACGCGTATGGTCTTCTTGGTTATAATCCCGTGTAGTTCGAAGGAACTACTATGTTTCGGAGCAATATATCGCCTTCATATTCAGGGTGGAAAACTAGTTCAACTTGCTGTATACTTTTGCCGGTTTCTTACTGGGCTTAATTTTCGACCCTGAAGATGAAGGCGATATGTTCCTCCGAAACGTCGCACTCACACCGAACAGCATATCCAGAAGACCGGACTCTCAACGTACAGAACTGTATTTACACGTATCGGTATATTTTCCTCGTGTCTAATGCTGAAAACTGAAAACTAACCCTGAGGCTGCGTCACGAAACGTTCGTGTCAAAAGCGACACGTGATCCTTCAATTTACGCCATGTAGGTTTAGTAGGTTAATGCTGGCGATTTCCGTGTATTTTCTAACACACGATTATAGGTTTATATTAGGGAGGCTCGTTTCTACTGAGCATGCTTGTTTGATAGAGAAGGAATGTCGATAGTTCGCAATAAAATTACTCTCCGTCTACGTGTATTCGTATGTCCCTATATTTCGCTGTTTATTTTCTTTTCCTTGGACTGTTCCACTATCATTGGTTGCAGCTTGATATACTGTAACGTGTTTAGGCGACTGAGACGCGGTTTGGGTTGGCAATTGGTTTTATTATCAACCTACAGGTCGTAACTACAATTAATTATAGCACTGTTACTGATGTACGCAATTTACAAGTACTACACACTGATCTCTTCAGCCTATCTGCAATAGTTTTCACGGGGTTATAACATGGAACTATAACACTCTCCCTAAATCACGCACTCCCAATGCCACTGCACTGTTGCACACGCTAAATCTTCACAGGCCGACCTCTTATGTTCTTCAGTATTTCTGGTTCCAATTCGCTCTCAATCAAGCTTCACAATTCATGCTCCATTCTCGTCCTTGTACTTCGGCTGCTGAACCCTTCTGGACTCACCACTTTTCTGTCTAGAACTATCGTTATATAGACTTCTCACCGACCACGCAGAGAACACAGTCCCTACTGCTGAAACGTATTTACCGAACATTACATAAAAACGGTCACGGCGCCGACCGAACAGAAAACGCCCTACTTCTATTGTTGCCTTGAATGTATTCGGTCGTGAGGTGTTTTAACGGTCAGTTACCTAGCAACGCTCTGCCCATCCACGTTACAATATTTGACCTAAAGAAATAGGCTTATAATTTCAGTGCGTTCTGCGTCCGTGTGTGCCTCACAACTTCTACCGTCAACTAGAGCCTGTATAATCACGACGATCAGATCAAGAAGGATAAGATGAAGGGTGCATGTAGCATTCGTGGAGCAGGAGAAAACTGCATACAACTCTGGGTTGACGAGTCCGAAGAATAGCAACTCATGACAAAGCCAGCCATGGATCGGAAGATGATAATGAAATGGTTTTAGGGAAATGGGATGGGAGATCATGTACTGGATTCATTCGGCTGAGTGGCTTCTTCTTTAGAATACGGATTCGTAAAATGCTGAGTAGTTCTTTATTGACTGAGTAAATATTAACTTCTCAGGAAGAATTCTGCCCCATGGAGCGAATGAGATAGTTAATTAGTACGTGTTTGTGTGCACCTTCCCTGATAACTTCTGGCCTCACGGTACACAGTCCAGATGAATAAGCTTGATCATATACCTGTACTTTCTTAAATAAGTACACGAAGTTCTTGTCTGGCGAGCAAACAAATGTTTTATTACGAGAAACAAGCAGAGAAAGTACACGAGCTGTAATAATCTAAAATGAAGGAACCGTTTCTAAGTTACAACACTCAGCAATGTTTAGGTTCACACGCATGCGCAGCAGTAGTTCGTGTTCATACCGTACAGGTCTGAAGGATTTTTATTGACGTTTGACGTGAAAGAAAAACACGCGTTAGTATAAAGTCATTGCATTACTACTCTCTGAGCACGAATTGTTCACGAAATTAATGTATATTTTGCAGCAATATAGTACGAGGTATATAGCAGCTATGCCGGTCACGGTAGCCGAGCGGTCTAAGGCAT